GGGAACGTGCGGAGGAGGAGAAGGAGGAGGATGAGGAGCAGGAGGAGCAGGAGAGCAGGAAAAAGGGCGAGCAGGAGGAGGGCCATGGGCCACGGGGGGATGTTGATTATGATGATGATAAACGATGATGATGATGTGAATGATCATGATGATGATGATGATGATGATGGTTATGATGATGATGATGACGACGATGATGATGGTGATGATGATGATGATGACGACGCTGATGATGATGCTGAGGATGCCGATACTGCTGCTGCTGATGATGATGATGGTGATGATGATGAGGAGGAGGAGGAGGAGGAGGAGGAAGAAGAAGAAGAAAGGCGAGGAGAGGGGGATGCAGGGTACGAGGCACAGGGGGATCAGGAGGATGAGCAGGAGGAGGAGGAGGAGGAGGAGGAGGAGGAGGACAACGACGACGAGGATTCGTGGGAGGAACACAGTGGAAGGTGAGATGGATGGCCAGGTACGTGGGAGGAAAGGAGAGGAGGATGAGGAGGCGGCTGCGCAGAGGATGTGTCGTCGTCGTCGTCGTCGTCGCCGTCTTCACCTCGTCGTCCTCGTGGAAGTCGTCGCCGTCGTAAGGGCCCAACCCCACGCAGCTGCGAGTAACGCAGGATGACTCTCTTCTCATAGGTAGCGCGCCGCCAGAGGGGTGGAGCCCGAGGCATTGCGGATGGGGGCCGCGAAGCGTCTGAGGGGGTTGCCGAAATGAGGCGGACGCGCAAAATGGAAATGCCCAGGAGCCCGCTGCGTCGGCAACTCCGTCGGCGCTGTCGGCGTCGGACCCTACACGTCAGCATCGGCGTCCGAGCTGTTGCAGCTGCCACGGCTTGGCGAAGCTGCCCTCGACGAGGCCGCCGAGGCCGCGCGGCTCGACGGGGCCGCTCTCGACGAGGCCGCACGGCTCGAGGATGCCGCTCTCGAAGAAACCGCCGCGGCCGCTGTCGAAGACGCCGCCGAGGGCGCTCTCGAAGAAGCAGGGCTCGGGGAAACCAAAGGAGAGGACGAGGCCGCAGGGCTCGGGGAAACCGAAGGAGGGCTCGGGGAAACCGCAGGAGCGGACGACGACATTACCTTGAGCCAAGTCCTACGGACCACAATGGTGACGATGGTGATGGTGATGGCGATGCTGATGGTATGGATGGTGATGATGATGATGATGATGATGATGATGATGATGATGATGATGATGGTGATGATGGTATGGTGAGGGCGGTTGTGATGGTGATGATGGTGATGGTGATGATGGTGATTCTGGATGTGATGAGCACCACCATCATCACCATCACCATCGCCACCACCATCAGCACTACGATTTGATAACCACCATCATTACAATCGTCGTCGGCATCAAAACACAAAAACACTCAACCGACTCAACCTAAATCCGCCCTAAATCAAGCCGGGAGGAGGAGGAGGAGGAGGAGGAAGAGGAGCATGAGGAAGAGGAGGAGGAGGTGAAGGAGGAGGAGGAGGGAACAGGGGGTGCGGAAAGGGAGGGGAAACGGGGGGGAAGAGCGAGGAGAGGAGGAGGAGAAGGAGGAGGAGAGAGAGAATGGAGGAGGAGGAGGAGGAAGGAGGACAGAGGGGGAGGAGGAGGAGGAGGAGGAGGAGGAGAGGAGGAGGAGGAGGAGGAGGAGGAGGAGGAAGGAGGGGAGGAGGAGAGGAGGAGGAGGAGGAGGAGGAGGAGGAGTAGGGGAGGAGGAGGAGGAGGGGGAAAAGGAAGAGAAGAGGAGGAGGAAGAGGAGGAGGAGGATGGAGGAGTGGGAGGAGGAGGGGGAGGAGGAGGAGGAGGAGGAGGAGGGAGGAGGAGGAGGAGGAGGATGAGAGGAGAAGAGAGAGGGAGGAGATGGAGGAGGAGGAGGAGGAGGAGGAGGAGGAGGTAGGAGGAGTGGGAGGAGGAGAGGAAAAGGAGGAGGAGGAGGAGGAGAGGAGGAGTAGGATGGAGGAGAGGAGGAGAAAAAAGAGGAGAAAACGAAAGGAGGAAAAAGGAGGAGGATGAGGAGGACGCAGGAGGAGGAGGAGAAGAGGAGGAGGCGGAGAGGAAAGGAGGAGGAGGAAGGAGGAGGAAGAAGCGAGGAGGAGGAGGAGGAAGGAGGGGAAGAGGAGGAGGAGGAGGAGGAGGAAGGAGAAGGAGGAGGCGGGAGGAGGAGGGGGAGGAGGCGGAGGAGGAGGAGGAGGAGGAGGAGGAGGAGGAGAAGAAGGAGGAGGAGGAGGGGGGGAGGCAGGAGGAGGAGGAGGAGGAGGAGAGGAGGAGGGAGGAGGAGGAGGAGGAGGAGGAGGAGGAGGAGGGGAGGAGGAGGAGAAAAAGGAGGAGAAAAAGGAGGAGAAAAAGGAGGAGAAAAAAGATGAGAAAAAGGATGAGAAAAAAGAAGGAGGAGGAGGAGGAAGAGGAGGAGGAGGAGGAGGAGGAGGAGGAGGAAGAGGAGGAGGAGGAGGAGGAGGAGGAGGAGGAGGAACTGCCTGGCTCATCGACACCGTGACCATCTCCGGGCCCAGGGCCTGCACGCCCGCCGCCTCGGGACGAGGCAGGTTTGGCGAGCCCCGGGGGGCCCCTGGTGAGCAGGGAGGACAGGAGCCGAACCGAGCTGTACAAGTCTGCCTCCTCCCCAGACCCCCTCGGGCAATGAACAAATGACCACAGGAGGTGTTTTTGCAATTTTCGAACTCTGGGGGCCCTTACCGGCCCTCGAGACC